TGGAAGGAGAGAGCTGACCTACATGGGTTGCCTAACCTCCCCATGCATACTGTGGTACATATGTGCACACATACATATGCATACACACTTAATAAATAAATTTAGTAAAAAATTTAAAATATATAGTTTAAGAAAAATAAATACTTACACACCATTCAACAAATATTTGTTGAAGGGTTACTATGTACATGGCAATTTAGTATTCATAGGGAGAAAATGATTCTTTCCTTCAGGAGCTTAAATTCTACATAAGGAAGATTTAAAATAAAAAGTAAGTAAACATCCTAATGCACTGATACATTAAGTGTTAGAGGTAAAGGTTAGTAGAGCAATGTAAGCAGGGCTGGGTTCAATGCAGTTGTTCCAAAAGTATGTCCAAAATTAGTTTTGAAATTTTCTTCAAAATATGGAGCCTATGTCTTCTCTCCTTGAGTAAGAGCCAGACTTAGTGATTTGTTTCTAACAAATAGAATATGCATTGATATCACTTCCAAGACTATGTTTTTAATTTTTCTTGATTTATTTAAATTTAAAAAATTAAGGCTAGATTTTTTAAAGATTGGAGAACTGCTGCAGAGTTCTGAGCAGAGGAATGTAGTGATGTTACCAAAAACAATCTAACACATGCATTAAAAAAGTATATAATATGCCATGTGTTTAAATTATTTTAGACAATATTTTATTGATACTCATAGATCAAATTATTTCATACTCTTTGACAATATAATAAATAGAAAGTAAAAGTATAGCCATAAGAAAAGATTCTTAAGGATTAGATATAAATAATACCACATTCATTGAAGTGGATAGAACTAATTATAATTTCTATCATATTACATAATTTAATCAAAGAATTGTTGGAGAAAAAGCAACAATTTCTAAAAGATTGTGTAGTTGTCAGCATGCACAACCTAGGCAAAGGCATGGTCTTTTGTTTGTCTTTTAGGGTCCTACCCTTATCTGTGTTTGTAGACAAGGCAGCGTGTTTTACTTAAAGAGTGTACTTTCGGGGCTGGAGAGATGGCTCAGCAGTTAAGAGCACTGACCACTCTTGCGGAGGACCTGGGTTCGATTCTCAGCACCCACATGGCAGCTACAATCCATCCTTAACTCCAGTTCCAGGGGAATCCGACACATTCTTCTGACCTTTGTCGCATTACATGACACGGGTGTACTCACATACATGCAGGCAATATACTCGTACACATAAAATAAAAATAATAAATTTTTAAAAAGAGCAAATGAAGAAAGATTTTTAAAAAAGAGTGTACTTTCTCAAAACTTATGAAAAAATTAATTTAATTTCCATGATGCTAAATCCAATTTCGTTAACTCTATTAACATGTCAACAGCTACAATAGAGTGGTTCAATCTTACCTGACACATGGCAATTTTTATATTTAGGAACATATTTTTTAAGGAGATTCTTCATATATGAATCTTTGGCCTCATCCAAAGCACACGTTCCATGATCACTTCTAAATAATGGATCAGCTCCATTCAAAAGAAGCAACTCTGCCACCTAGAAAAAGAAACAGAGTGCTTATATGATGGAGTCAAAAGGGTATATTGTGTCTGTGTGTGTGTGCGTGTGTGTGTGTGTGTGTTTCAAAAGTTAATATATATAGAGAAAGTTTTGTTTTGTTGAGACAGGGTCTCTCTGTAGTCCTAGCTGGCCTGGAACTCACTGTAGATCAGGTGGCCTCTGATCTTACAAAGATCTTCTTGATTCTGCCTCCTGAGTGCTGGGATTAAAGGTGTGCACCACCATACCCAGATAAAGGGTATATTATTGTAAATATGTGTTAGCCTAAAACTCTAAGCAACACTAAAGTGAGAGTCTGGGATTACCTATAAAATCTTTGTCCAATAAGGAAATTGCTATTGAGACATAATTTTTCTACAAAAAAAAAAAAAAACTGTTCTCTGACAAAAGAACCAAAATAAATAGAGAAGAAAAAGGAGAAAATAGAGTAAAAGGAATAAGGGGAAAGAAGGGACATGTTGTGATGAGAATGATATTTTTCCCTTCCAGTTTTCCTCCCCAAGCCCACAGCTTCAATCTAATCATGAGACAGACAATAGATTAACAGTTGGAAGACTTGGGAGTCCATAGGGAGTGCCAGATAGAGAGTATAGTTTTTCTTTTAGGAATACAAATTTGTTAAAAAAATGGATTGTGATGGTCACCTAACTGTGTGAATATATAAAAACAGCTGAATTGTGTAATTCTTATGAGTGAATTTTTAGTATATCAATTAAATATTAAAAATCATAGTTTTAAATGATTTTTCTTTGTATTTAATTTTCCCCCTCCTACATATATGCACATTTCTGTACAAATGTATGTTTGTGAATACATGTATAAACAAAAATGAATGACTTTGTAGGAAGTGATTGTAAACATAGTGAGTTTCACCCTTCAATATTTAGACCTCTTAGGAACACACTTTCACAAGACCATGAAATAGTATTACATAGTGTAGACTAGTAACTGCACTTACAGAATATCATACTCTCCAGACTGGCCCCAAACACACATTGTTACATGGAAGCCAGACTCTAACCATGGCTCACATATTCTCTTCCTTCTCTCTCTTTTTCCCTTTAAGCATTCACTTTGGGTAGTGCTTAGGCTAATTTCATAATTCTTACAGAATGTCCTGAGATGTTAATTACATTTTTTTCTGTTACTTTTACTTAATCCATTAATTTTGTATTTCCTTAAACTGGAAGTTAGCTTAAATGGAATGGATCAAGAGATGTGATCCTTATGTAATATTTTATATGTTTCTTACTTTTTGTCTTCTGCCTTAAAGAAAAAACAGTAAGTCCTGGAGTCTTAATTTATGAATAGAGGTAAGGATGCACAGTGTCAGTCCAAAGTGAAAAGAAAAGTTTCTCTTTCTTTGGCCTACAGAAATAAAATATTGATTGTATTTGAAATAATGGCATAATCAGATGCATAAACAAGAAGATGACAGCAGTAACAGAACTCCTAATAGTTCCTAGAAATGAAAAACATAAACACTAGAAAACCAAGCAGATTTAATGAAGAGCTTGGCACTGAAAACTTTCCCTAACCCCAACTAATCCCAAGCTCTGCTAGGATTTATTCACTCTTTTTTTTTTTTTTTTTTTTTTTTTTTTTTTTTTTCCCTGTAATCCCAGGTGGCCTGTAGACCCAGCTGACCTGGAACTCACTATGTGGATCAGGCTGGCCTTGAACTCAGAGATCCGCCTGCCTCTGCCTCCTGAGTGCTGGGATTAAAACCACACTTGGCGGTGTTTATTCACTCTTATTACTGTCATCACCTCAAGATTTTATTTCAAATGGTCTATATAATAAAATGGTACAAAGAATTTAAAGTCTGAAAATGTTAAGATTTAAATTCTAGTAGAGGACACATTCTAACTGGAAAAGATGTTGTATGTGGAGGAGAGGAAAAGATTCTTTAAAAATTACTAAGAATCAACAGCATAAATTCTGGGTTTTTTTTTTTTTTTTTTCGGTCTTTTTGAGACGGGTCTCCCTGTAGCCCCAGCTGTCCTGGAGCTCACTATGTAGACCAGGCTGGCCTTGAACTCACAGAGATCCGCCTGCCTCTGCCTCCCAAGTGCTGGGATTAAAGGTGTGCGCCACCACGCCCGGCCATGAATTCTGTTTTTTAAACTATTTTACAATGGGATTTAATGCTAGATACGGAAACAAAGCAATAGTATGTACAATTACATGAACATACAAGCCATACACAAGAACAAGCAAGTCATGACATCCCATAAACCCTAAACAGAAAACATAATCTTAAATTTCTTATGGAACCACAAAAAATCCAGGATAGCCAAAATAATCCTAATTAATAAAAGAACAGCTGAAGGTATCACCATCCCTGATTTTAATTTATTCTACAGAGCTACAATAACAAAGACAGCATTTGGCTGACACAGAAACAGACACATGGACCAATGGAATAGAATTGAGGACCAGATCTAAGTTCATTCATCTGTAGCCATCTTACTTTCAACAAGGAGGTCAAAAGTGTGTACTTTTGGAGAAAAGACAGCATCTTCAACAAATGGTGCTGGTCAAACTGGATAACTATATGCAGAAGAATGAAACTAGATCCTTATCTTTCAGCCCCCCTAAATCCCCACCACAAAATTCAACTCCAAATGGATCAAGGACTTTAACAGATGACCTGATACCCTGAGTCTGATAGAAGAGAAAGTAGGGAACACACTGGAACTTATAGGCACAGGAAAGGACTTTCTGAACAGAGCCCTAATAGCATAGGCATTAAGATTAACAACTGACAAATGGGAACACATGAAATTAAAAAGCCTGTTGAGCAAAGAACATCATAACTAAAGTGAAGAGACAGTCAACAGAATTGTAAAGAATCTTTATCAGATATTCATCTGACAGAGGGTTAGTATGTAGAGCATGCAAAGAATTCAAAAAGCAAACATCAAGAAAACAAACAATCCAATAAAAATTGGGACAAGGACCTAAGCAGAAAGTTCTCAAAAAAATAAACTGCAAATTGCTGAGAAATTTTTTTTTTAAATGCTCGACATCCTTAGTCATCAGGGAAATGCAAATTAAAACTACTTTGAGATTTCATCTTACCACAGTCAGAATAGCTAAAATCCAAAAAACAAACAATGACAAGTGCTGGTGAGGATGTGAGGAAAGGGGAACTCTTATTCACTGTTGATAGGAGTGCAAAATGATGCAGGCACTATGAAAATCAGTGTGGAAATTCCTCAAAAGGTAGAAAGAGATCTGCCATATGATGCAGCCATGCCACTCTTGGGCATACACCCAAAGGACTCTATATCCTTCTACAGAGATACCTGCTCATCCATGTTCATTGGGCTATATTCACAATATCCAGGAGATGGAAACAATGTCCATCAACTGAAGAGTAATAAAATGATACATTTACACAACAGAGTATTATTCACTTATTAAGAAAAATGAAATGGGGCTAGAGAGATTGTTCAATGGTTAAGAGCACTGACTGCTCTTGCAGAGGACCTGGGTTTAAGTCCCAGCAGGTAACGCCCATCTGTAACTCCAGTTCTCGGGGATTCAACACCTTCTGACCTCTGTGGGCATTGCAAGACACGGATGCACTTACACACATGCAGACAATATACTCATACATATAAAAATAATACATAAAATCTTTAAAAATGAAATGACTGAATGTACAGGTAAAAGGATGGAACTGGAAGCAAATACCCTGAGTGAGGTAACCCAGACCCAGAAAGACAAGTGTTACATGTTTTCTCTCCTATGTAGATGCTGGCATTGAATCTTTAGATATGTGTGTTTCATCTGGAAAATGCACAGAGGGGCCCAAGGTGGGGAGTTTTAAAGGGAGGGGAAATAAAATATAGTGTTATAAAGGGGGAAGGGGAATAACAAACAGGAAGGGTTAAATGGGGTAGAGAACACTGTGGAATAGGGAGTAGAAGGAGAGATAACTAATGTAAACGCCTTTTGGAAATTCACATGGGAACCCATTACTACTGTAAAAAGCTTCCTAAAATATAAACGTATACATGTATAAAAATAATTTAGATGGCATTACAACAGGGGGACAACGCCCAACTAGACACCACAGGCTAGGAAATAAAAAGCCCAGTGCCAGGAATGGATTACCTCTTTTGGAAGCATGGTAAAAGAGATATTTAATATTCACAAGAAATGTATTTGTTCTATAAACAAAAGCATGAAAGTACCTTATGATGTCCATTTATCACAGCATCATGTAGGGGAGTAATCTGGTACATTCCTTTGATATTTACATCTGCTCCACCCTTTAACAGTTCACGTACTATCCGATAAAATCCTCCAACACTAGCTTCATGAAGTGCTGTCCAACCTATTATATAAAATTTAATTAGACATTTTATTTGACATTGTAATGCTCTGTGCTTACTCTTAAAATAGTCTAGTTTCTTTAAAAGTATTCTGATTACATGATATTATATAGCATTGGGATAAGAGTATCTTGTATTATTTTGTGGATTCAAAAAATATGAGGAAGGGCTGGGGGTGTCACTCAGTTGGTAGAGTATCTAGCATGCATAAAGACTTATGTTCAATCTCTAGTACTACATAAGACAAGACATAGTGGCACATGCCTGTAATCCAAGCACATAGGAGGTGGGGAATCAGAAGTTCAAAGTCACATAGGGACTTTGCTACATAGAGAGCACAAGGTCAATCTTGGATACATGAGACCTTGTCTGAAAAAAAATATATATATATATATGAATATATACGAAGAAAAGCCAAATTCTTAACTCTCAACTCTGCTATGGAAAAATATGAAGACAAATGCTTTATTTTATTTTTATTTTCAATTGTGTGTGTGTGTGTGTGTGTGTGTGTGTGTGTGTCTGTGTGTCTGTGAGTATGTGCACATGAGTGCAGTGCCTGTGGAAGCCAGAGGCATAGAATCATCCTGGAACTGGAGTTACAGGCAGTTTTGAGTCGTCTGTTGTGGGTGCTGGGAATTACATTCAGGTTCTCTGCAGGAGCAGTATGCACTCTTAACCACTGAGCCATCTCTCCAGCCCAAGCAGTATTCTAATCTCCCCCAAATAAAAAATTATTATGTGTCAGTTATCAACTAATAGAGGATATTGGTTACAGGCTATTTTTCTTCAGAGAAGAGGGGAATAGTATTATTTCTAATTCAAAGTACAACCATAAAAATAGCTCAACCAGCAAGATCACATATCTGTCAGTTCAAACGCATGTTTTCTTTTTCTCCTTATTTGCAAAAACTATTTATAGTAATTAAAATAACAAACCATTTATCTTTGTATAAATATACTTTTCCTTTTTTAGTCAGATGTTATGCTATAGAATTATCTATTAATAAATCATATACTTTTAAAGCCTAAAATTTCATGTTAAAAGCATATTTAACTTACTCTTTTCATAAGTCTCTATCATAGTGTCTCATTCTAAGTATTCACATTTTTAGGCTAGGTAAATCTTTTTTGTTCTGTGTGTCATAGAATATTTAACAGCTCCCTCTAGCTTCAATCCACCAGACACAAGTGGCAACTCCTATTGTGGTATTAAATTTTTTTAAAGTTTGCAAAAATTCCCAAATGTTCCCTGAAGGAGAAAATAAACCCAGCTGAGAAACTATTACTATAAACATCACAGAAGGAGGTTCCTATAACATAAACTGTAGAGTCTTAAGGAAGTAATAAAGAGCACAAAAAATGCTAAATACATAGCTTGTATATTTTTTCTCTAAATTTTCATCCATATTCATTAAAATGTATATGGATGTTCAAAGCAATAATTATAACATTATCTTCTGACATTTACACTATATGTAAATGTAAGACAGATAATAGCTATTACATAAAAAATAAATGAACCTACATAAAATCAATATTCTTACAGTTTATATGAACTATACCAATATTAACTCAAAGAAAACTTTAAAACATTATAAATACATATAATCCCTAGAGACTGTAAATGAAAAAGAAAAAAGCAGAGTAAATACACAAAAATAATTAGAAAATATAGTCATCCTAAATCCAATCTTTTATATTAAGTATAAACTAATTACTCTAAGCTTCAATTAAAAGGCAGAGACTGGCAGTATGTTTTTTTTTTAATTATGTCATCTATGACAAGCATATTTTAAATAGATATAACAAATAATCAATAGATAAAAGATTAAGATCTTAATATGATATATAGTGGATTTCAGGTAATATGTATTACCAGCAATGAGAGTCATCCATAATAACATGAGTGATACTAAGATCAAAACTACATGTATATGTATACATATAAAAGCATACAAACATGGCTTCAAAATATTTGGAACAAAAACTGGCATAATTGAAGAGAGAAACAATTCCACAAGCATAGCTGTAAATGTATTAACAACTCTCTAGAAAATGACAGATCAGGCAGATAAAAATTCATTAAAGACATAAATGATCTAAACTACATTACTGACATGAAAGAGAGAGAGAGAAAGAAAGAAAGAAAGAAAGAAAGAAAGAAAGAAAGAAGAAAGAAAGAAAGAAAGATCAGTACTAGAAAGATACCAAGAGAGATATCAACATGATGCCAAGAAAGATACCAATATGGCTAAGCTGGTAAAGGTTCTTGGTGCACAAACTTGGCAAGTTGAGTTCCATCCCTGGAACCCATGTAAAGGTAGAAAGAGAAAATGATTATGCAAAGTTGTCTCTGACCGCTGCATGCACACCAATAAACACATACACAAGAATAATATTTAAAGATATCAAGAGAATCCCTAAATATTTTTAAATTAAACAACTTCTGATAAAATCACCATTTTTTCACATTTTCTGAGTCCAATTTGAGGAGTTTCCAGGAAATTTCTACTATTGTCTTACTTCAGAGACAGAGCCCATCTCAAGTTGGGCCTTCCTTAACTTGAGCTCTTTCTGTGCAGTGTCCTGAGGAGGAGCTAGAGAGATGATTGAACAGTTAACAGCATAAATTGCTCTTGTGGAGGACCCAAGTTCAGTTTCCAGCACCCATAACAGGAGGCTCACAACTACCTGTAACTAGAGTTCAAGAGGCCTTCAGTGCACAGATATACACACAAACACACACACATACACATAAGAAAATAACAAAAACAAAAACAAAAACAAAAATCACTGCCTGGGTTTACAGTTGCAGCTGATGGTCCAAGCAGCCCATCAATACTAAGCACCCCATCCTTGCTGCCAGAAGTAGTGCACCCACCCATACCAAAATAATGGCTCAACAGAGCTGCACTACCTTTACACAGCTCCCAGAAAGTGATAAATACCTTGCCTTTGCTGCTGTGCCTGCCACACCAGAGGCACCAAGAATCAAATGTTGCCTATGACAGCTACATCCCAATTGTTGGAGAAATCCAGTGATCTCCTACTGCCTAGGCATCACTGATGTTGACTGTAACTGAAGAAGCTACATAGCAACCACACTTCTACATTTACCTAGAGCAAATCAAATATACTCTAGTCAAGTAATCCACTAGGACACATCACTTGGAGAAAGGTTTTTGCAACAAAAAGCAAAATTATTGAAAAACAACTGAACAAATATCAACACAGGGACACAAGAAACATGGTTAAAGGGCTGGGAATTTAGCTTAATGGTAGGGCCCTTCCCTTGCTTAACAAGCTCAAGGCCCTGGGTTTGGTCTTCAGCTCTGGGGGAAAAAAAAGACAAAATAACAAGAAACATTGTGGGAAAAACACAGTAACTCTATAACAAAAGACCCTTAAAAAAGAAATTGATGAGATGTATGAAAAAGAATTCAAGGAAACTCAAGGAGATAAAAGAGAATGCAGATGATTCAATTAAACTTCACAAATAACTCATGACCTGAATAAAAAAATTAACAAAGAGAAATTAATATAAAAAAAGAAACAAATAGGGTGGAGGAGATGGCTCAGTGGGAAAAATGCAACTACTGTCAAGCCTGATGACCCACATGCTGGAAAGAGAACTGACTCTTGCAAGTTGTCTCTGACCTCTACCATGTGCCATGCATGTGCACACACATAAATAAATACACACATATACACAGGTGTGCACAGATAAAATAAATAAATATTAATGTAATGAAAGTCTTAAATTTTTAAAAAAGAATCAAACAGAAACCTTAGACTTGAATAAATGAAAATTTAAAGATTCTCAGCAACAAGCTAGGTCAAACAAAAGAGAATTTTTGATCTTGAAGATAGGTCTTCTGACATAACCTAGTCAGATAAAGAGGGGTAAAATGAAAGGTGAGGTGGAAAGGGATGTAGGAGAGAAGAAAAAATAAAAGAATGAAGAAAGGCAAAGAGACTTATGAGACACTAAGCAAACATATATGTACATCATGGATATTATAGAAGAAGTAAAAAATAAAACATGTTTAACAAAACAACAATTGAAATTTTTCTGAGCTTAGAAAAAACACAGAAATACAAAAGCTCGAAGGGATCCAATTATATTTGACCAAAATGGTGTTTTCTAAGATATATTATATTCAAATCATCAAGACAAAGAATTCTAAAATCAGCAAAATAAAAGCATTAAGCCACATATAAAGCAATTCCCTACTAGACCAATAATAGATTTCTCAGCAGAAATCTTATAGGCTAAAAGAAAATGGGCTTATATATTCAAAAATTCCTAAAGGAAAATACTGCCAACCATGAATATGATCCTAACAACGCTAGCCTTCATAAATAAAGAGGAAAACTTTCCAAGGGAAGCAAAAACTGAGAGGCTTCATCACCACTGAACTGGCCTTACAGAACAATTATTAAGTGAGTTCAACATTTAGAAGGATGGTATCTATTATTATGATACATAATAAAAATGAAAAAATTATATATATTCTCTACCATAAGTAAATAAAACTAGAACTCAACACAAAGAACTTTAGATATTGTACAGATACATGGAAATTAAATAGGATGCTCTGGAATTATCAACAGGTCAATGAAGAAATCAGAAGGGAAAACTTTTAATGTTGAGTCAAATGAAAATGGAAACATAACATGCCACGACCTATTGGAATACAGCAAAAGAGAGACACTTGTAAGAATAAAGACCTAGCAGGTGGAGAGATGGCTCAGGCATTAGGCTGAGGATCTGAGTTTTGGGTTTCAGCACCAACATGGCAGCTAACAGTCAAAACTCCAGTTCCATGGGAATAATGCCCTCTTCTGGCCTACAGCAGCTTTGCATGCACATGTGTGCATTTACATGCAGGTAAAACACTCAAACACATAAAATATAGAGTTAGAACCAGCTTACCCTGTCTCCATAGGGCAACCTTGGACCTAGGCCCCCTCCTGCTGCCTCTGCCAAAGAGTGTCTGACTAGCTGCAGTCTCCGAAGTAAGTCAGATCCCACCCACTGGGTCACAATCCTAATTTGGGCCCAGCCCCATCTGCACAGCTCTGGGGCTCACATCTACCCTGTTTACCTAGGTAGAACCAGTCATCCCATCCCCATGGGCCCTCTTGGGGACTAGGCTCCTTCCCACTGTCCCTGCCCGAGAGCTCCTTACTAGTTTCAGTCTCCTAAGCAAGTGAGGTTCTGCCCACAGGGTCATGCCCATGCTTTGGGACCAGCCCCAATGCTGAAACTGTTAGAAGAAAATATAGGCAGTACCCTACAAAATACAGGTGCAGGGAAGGACTTTCTAAATTGGACAGCAGTTGCTCAGAAATTAAGGTCAACAATCAACAAGTGGAACCTCATTAAACTAAAAAGCTTCTGTAGCGCAAATAAAATAACCAATCAAGTGAAGAGGAAGCCCCCAGAGGCAGAGAAACTATTCACCAGCTACACATTTGACAGAGGATTAAGATTCAGAATATACAAAGAACTCAAAAAACAAACAATCAAGCAAACAAATTACTGAATTAAAATATAGGTTTTGGATATGAACAGAGAGATTCAAGAGAAGAAATAAATATGGCTAAGAAAAAAGTGTTAAGTGTTTAACACCCTCGGTAATTAAGGAAATAAAAACTACTTTAAGATTTCATCTTACCCCAGTCAGAATGCCCAAGATTAAGGGAACAAATGACACCAAATGCTGTCAAGGATGCGGGGAAAGGGGACTGCTCATTCATTGCTGGGATTGCAAACTGGTGGAACCACTGTGGAAATCAGTGTGGAGAACTTTTAAAAACCTAAAAATAAATCTACCATATGATCAGGTTATACCACTCCTTGATGAGTCCCAAAAGACTCATCCTACTGTAGAGATATTTGTGCAGCCATGTTTGTGGCTGTTCTTTCCACAATAGCTAAGAAATGTACACAACCTAATGCCCCACAACTGATGAATGGATAATCAAAATGCGGTATAGTTACACAATGCAATGGTGTTCTACTCAGTGGTAAAGAAAAATGAAATCATGAAATTTGCAGGTAATGGATGGAACCAGAAACTGTTATGCTTAGTGAAATAACACAGACTCAGAAAAGTGATATATGTTCTCTCTCATTTGTGGATCTTAGCTCCAAATCCTTATATGTGAGCATATGCCCTGATGTAACCACAGGAGCCAGGAAAATGGAAAGTAACCATGGAGGTAAAGGGAGAGAGGCATTCAAGAGAGGATAGTAAGAGACCATTTTTATCAAGGCAGAAATGAGGAAAATGGGGGTCCTGGGAAGGGAGGGCTAAACATGGAGAGTGAAAGAAGAGACTAGTAGTCTAACTTATTTCACAGTTCCAGTCATTTTCCTGAAACTCACAATTTCATTTTTCTATATGGCTGAATAAAATCCCAGTGTATACATGCACCATATTTTTATTATCCACTCATCTGTTGATGCACATAGGGGCTGATTCCATTTCCTAGCAACTGTCACTAGAGTAGGGTCAGAGATCACCAGACTACTTTCATGTACTAACCATGCCCATATGTACCACATGTCACAGCTCACAGGTTACATTGTTTTGGGGCCTTGTACTGTAATGCCTTCCCATTCCCTGAGTTCTCTTAAGGACCTTCAAAGAAAACTCCTTGTTTTGTCTGGGTTGGCTGAAGTTTACTTTATGCACACCCTTCATCCCCTACCTCAACATAAAGCTGTGGACTTTATTTTGCTTGAGAAGATTCATGCCTCTCTACAACAGCAATCCTCTCCTTTCCCTATTTAAAACCTTACAATATGGTAGCTCTACTTTTTGGATTTTTTTAAAAGAAACTTCTACACTGATTTTCATATCTTGCTAGTAGTTTTTGTATTGTAGGGCTAAAAATAAACCTGGGCAAACTTGCTAAACTATTGTTAACTTAAAGACAGATCATAGGTACATAGCTAGATAGAGATAGATAGATGATAGATGGATAGATAGATAGATGATAGATAGATAGATGATAGATAGATGATAGAGATGATTGATAGGATAGATATATTAATTGAGATAGATGTTAGAAGATAGATGATAGGTAGGTAGGTAGGTAGGTACATAGGTAGGTAGATAGATAGATAGATAGATAGATAGATAGATAGGTAGAATTTTAAACAAATATTTCTGATGAAAATGGCTTGCAGACAATTCTTTGGAAACTCTGCTCTCTCTCCCTAATTATGAAGGGTATGATAGTCAGAAATTTTTTTAAAAATGTGGTAAGATACAAAGGAGAAAGTAAAGTAGATAGTAAGAGTTTAAGAAGCCTGGAAAATAAAAATAAGTTTTTCATGAAGGTCATGACGAAGTGCCTGGGGGCAGTGAGCAAACTGCTGAAGACAAGCAACAGTCACTAAGAGTGTTAATGTTGCCATAAAAAAGAAGGTAAGGAAAAAAATGCATGAAGACATGATCCATAAAGTCAAAGTTAGCTGTAGCTAGAGCCATTCTTGACTTCAAACAGGTAGACAGCAAGTATTGAAGAAAGAATCTCTTAAAATCTCTTAAAATTAAGAGAGTAAGTTTTTTGCAAGCAAATAAGCAAGGTTTATAGGATCTTGGTGATTAATCTGAGTATAAGATTTAAGGACTGGCAAGATGGTTCAGCAGGAAAGGGCACTTACTGCCAAACCTGATGACCTCTTAAATTTAATCCTAGGGTCCCACATAGTGGAAAGAGAGAATTGACTCCCACAAGTTGTCCTCTGATCTCCACATGCATGCTGTAGCACATGTGTGTGCATGAATGCACACATAATAAAAAATGAAAATAATGTAAATTAGAATAACATCCTGTTAAAACCATGACTACATTGCTGATGCAGTCCTTGTTAATCTAAGTCCTGGAGGAGCAGCTGGTTGTCCACGAAATGTGCTATGTCATCTCTACCACCAACTTCCCACTGCTGCATGAACTGAGAAAATCTAAAAACAAAAGAAAAAATATAGCCACTCCAAGGCACCTTCCAGACTGGTCCAGTGCTATTCAGTACTAAGTTTTCATGTATCTTTAACGAGTAACTCTTCTCCAGAGAAAAACAAAGATTTTCCCTACAAAGAATGTGCCACAAACCCAGTCACAAAGAAAGATTGCTTTCTGAGCAATCTATCCACCATCTACTTCATACTCTTTGCATTTCCCTGGCCACTACTCCTTCTGTATATCTGACATTATGAAATTCTCTCATAGTTCATTCAGTATACTGTCAGTTTCTTCCCGCTGGGTTCCCATCTTACCTCCATTCATAATTAAGCCTCATATTAACAATGACCTTGCAAAGCCAGCCCTAGGAATCATCCTTCCTTCTGCATAATGCCACTTCACATGACCCACCTGGCATAATATTTAAAGGAGAAAGTTAATGCTATACCATCCAGCTTATTCTCTCCCTTGGGAGATAATAAAGAGCTACTTAAACAAGAAATTACCAGAAAGCTCTCTGGTTAGGCTCACGTTATTATACTTTCATAGGGGCAGTTCAGTTAAAACTACAAATGACTCTCCAGACAACTGTGTGTGGTAACCCTGACTTACCAGCGTAACTTGGCTGATTGACTTTTCCACCATTTTTTATGCAATGGTGAACCAAATCAGCATCGTTATGCAGAACAGCTCTATACAGTAAATTCTCTCCAAAAATGTTTCTCCGGTTTATGTTAGAAAGACTCATGTTATAAATCTTCTTTTTCACTAAAATAAGAGAAAGAACAAAAGAAAAAAAAATCCTTATTTGAAAATCAGAAGGAAGAGACTATAAATGTACTCAGTACTGGAAGAAGGGCAAGTTATATTATGAAAGAGTATTTTATCTATTAACTCAATTATAATGTTATCTAAATCCAAAAGTAGAAAAGGCTGTTTAAAAATATTTATACTAAATTAAAACTCATCATACACAGCATAGATTGATTAAAACCTCACGAAAGTGCTCATATAAGATGACAGATTTTCTTGAAAATTCTAGGGAAGTAATTATTTAAATCTAGAATCATTCATTACCTGCTATAGTTTGACCATGCCCCAAAGGCCAAAGTCTAATAAAGCTATGAGGAGACTATCTCTGTGCCATATAAGGAAAATGCAAAAACTAACCCCAGAAATACCAGAAATGGAATTGATATATTTTCTCTTTAATAAAAATAACTAAACTGAATTAAAGAATGGTGGTCTAGGTTTTTTCAATAGTTTTGATTTACTACACCAGGCAAGGCACAATTAAAACCATTTTCCAGATGATACAAACCAAGTACCAATTCCTTATTATGTCCTTAAAACTACTGAAACTCTTCATGTGCATTCTCCAAATACCTTTAATTCTTGGGGACAATATTCAATGGACTTCTGAATTTCAAGACAATTTGACGATAGATTTTCCTATTTTGATCCAGCTAATCTACCTCAGATAAAAACTTCATAAACGTGAACAGACATGGTGGCACTGTCTTGTAATCCCAGGAGTAAGGAAGGCTGAGGAAGGAGAATCACAAGTTCCAGACTAGCTTAACCACATAGCACTACCCAGCAAGGCCCTATTTCAAAAACAAAAAACACAAAAACCAAAATAAAACCTTGTAAAAGTAACTGAGTAATGCAGAACATTTCTTAATGGTCTGTACTTTCACTAGCTTGTTTTTTATTTTGCTCCCTCTGTTAGGTCTCCCTGCAAAACAAACTTAATTGGTACCCTTATTTTAGTCTACCTTCCTTCCTGTACCTAAGAATACAAACCATCCTCCCACTATAATATGTATGCCGATCAAGAAACAAAAACAGTTCCTCTAAAATATGTCTGCATCAATGGTACTTGCTATGATAATTATGTAATTTGTTAAAAATAACAAATTAAGACACAAGCCACAATTTTGCTAAGTTGTGGAAGATACTCACTTCGAGTGACTTGTCCTCCCAGGGTAGACAACTAGAAAACCAGACAAAAATACCTGCAGGATTTATTTGCAAACATCAGAAAACCAGCACTTCAGATCTATGACCCTGAGTACACAGAAACTAATGCAGTGAGATCACCATGGCTTTCTGTCTGGATGCATTTTACAGAGCACAGTGATGCAGAGGAAGGGAGTTGCAAATTAAGGTGATCCTACTAATCTTAGGAGACTATTAGAATTTGGGAGGCTGTGGTCTAGAATTTAATTGCAAAGTAGGGTGCCATAGATAAGAGAGTGGAGAAAAAGCACTGGAAATCTACATAAAGGGTTCCTTGAGTCATTATCTAAATAAACTGCTCACATATAAGAGGAGTCTTGGGCTAGGGAGACCGGTCAGGGGGTGAAGTGCTTGCTATGCCAGGATGAGGACCTTGGTTTGGATCCCCTGCACCCATGGGCTGTACATGGGCTGGGCGTGGTGGCTCACGCCTTTAATCCCAGCACTCGGGAGGCAGAGGCAGGAGGATCTCTATGAGTTCAAGGCCAGCCTGGTCTACATAGTGAGTTCCAGGACAGCTGGGGCTACAGGGAGACCCTCTCTCAAAAATACCAAAAAAAAAAAAAGTTGAACATGGTGGCACATGCCTGTAATCCCAGAAATGGGGAGGTAGAGACTGAATCTGGCCGAAACAGAGAGTTTCAGGTTCAATGAAAGGCCCTGTCTCAAAAAATAAGGCAGAGAACAATAGGGTAAGATATGTGACCTCAACCTCTGGTCTCCACATGGACACAAATGGGTACACACACCTGCATATACACAGGTACACACACACACACACACACACACACAGCCCTCAACCTCCTACCCTGACAGACACACACAAAGAGGAGTCACCATAAAGCTGGGCAAACAACTAACAAGGAACTCTAAAACTGTCAATGCTCAAGCAGGGCTGGGAGACATTCATTCCTAGTGACCTAAATACAAAGATCTTATAGAAGAGCAAGGACATTTAAAGAGACCCTGAATGGTCATGTCTCAGTATTATCTACTCAAGGCTCAACACTACACTTGCCTAAGAAGGTTTTTAATAAAGTAATAAACAGCTAAGTTAATCTTCATGTAACTTAACTGTCAACATTTTGTATTCATTTGTTCTCTGTTATACTGCCCTTGCGCCTCTAAAAGAATCACTTTTTCATGTATGTGTGGGTCTATTTCTGAACTCTATTTTATTCCATTGGTCTAATTCCCATATTAATGCCAATTCCATGTTATTTTTATTATAGCTAAATAATTCTTGAAGTCTGATCATGCGAGCCCTCATACTTTGTCATTTTTTTCTGAGTCATTTTGCTGTTCTAGGTCTTTTGCATTTATGAATGGTAAAGGAAGGGAAGAGGAGGGGAGGGGAGAAAGGAAGAGGAAGGAAAAGGGGGGAGGAGAGGGAAAGGAGAGGGAAAGGGAGGAGAGGAGAGGAAAAGAGGGCTAGGGAGATGATTCAGTCAGTAAAATGCTTGCCTAGAAAATACAAAGAACTGAGTTCAATCCCCAGAATCCACGTTAAAAAAAGAAAAGACAGGGATATTGGCACAATTGTACTTCCTGCACTGTGAAGGCAGATCCCCGTGCCTTGCTGGCTAGTGAATTTAGTTTACTTGGCAATTTCCAAGACAATAAGAGACCCTGTTTCAAATTTTTAAAAAGTGGGCAGCACCTGAGGAATGACACTCAAGGTTGTAATCTGGCCTTGACATGTACCCACACATGCATCTGCACATGGATGAACACACACACACACACACACACACACACACACACACACACAAAATGATAAAGGAAAAGGAAAAGACAATACGATCTCTTCATGGCTTTTGATTGGGATCATATTTTTTTTTAAATTGAGAAGTAAACTGTGGTGAGTCACCTGTCCTCTTGTTCAAGAAGGACATGGAGACTCCATCAGATGGACTTGAACCAGTGTCCAGTCTACAAAGGGTCAACTCAGAGGAAACATTTCCTCCATGCTTCCAAGTGAAGCCAGGCATGGCTGAGTAGGACCTTTGACTTATCTTCACATAGATGGAACTGGTAAAAGAAAGGAGCCAGGGGCTCCTTCCAAGCCCATATAACCCCTGAGGAACAGATTCTCAAATGACCTTAAGTGTAAAAATAAATTGATTTATTTAGGCCAACTATACGGTCTTAAACACCCAAAAGGAAAGTATAACCAAAGAGTAAAGCCA